AGCTGGAACTACGTCCGGGGAAAAGAAGTACAAAAATACTCGGCTCGCAGGCCGGAGATAGAAAAAGAAACAATCAGGTCACAACAGCTGGAAAGGCTGAGATGTCTTGAGTTTGCTGGGGTTGAGCTTCATAATCCTCACCCGGCGCTTGTTCTTCCGCCTGCTCCTCCTCTTCTTCCTCGACAATGCCAGCCCATTCCTCGAAGGGAGCTGGCTTCTCAAGCCCAAGGGTTTGAGCGTTGTACACCTCGGTGGCGTACTTGTACCTCAGGTCGAAAAACTCCCATTCGGTGTTCCGGGTGGATGAGGGTCCAGGCCATTTTCATGCATGGCTCGCACTCAGTAACTACAAAGTCGGCCGAAAAAAAGGTTAGTCACTCATTTATGGTACAACCGGCAAAAAAGTAGAATGTACAAAAGCACCCCAACCGGCCAATCACCTCAACAAGTAGCGAGTTGATGCGGTCAATGTTGACCTGGTGAGGGTCCTCAGCATCCTCTTAGCATACTGCTGGAGGTCAGGCCAACAAGAAAAGGCATATGCAACTACAGATTTATATGTTAAGTATTGAGCATAGGCGGCACCTACATTCTGCCGACTGCCTGAAGAATCCCCTGATTGGATAGCTTGGGACATGACTCGCATAGGCCCAAGCGGCCTGGGGGGGGGGGTCAACGGTGAGAGCCATACCTTCATTTTCAGGCTGAGGGGTCATCTCACCCCAGCCGCATTGGAACCGGTCGCTACAGCAAGCAGCCAACTTGAGGGAGTTTCAGGCTCCCTCGTCTCAGCCTTAGCCGACCCTGTGTTTAGGCCAAGATCTTTAAGGCTCTTTCCTGCTGAGGTGGGCCTCTCAGGCACAAGCGGCCTGTCGGAAAAGGTAGGGGCAGCTAGAGTCCTCCTAGACTTGGAAGGAGGCTGGGAGGGCTCCTCGCCCGGTCTTTTCAGCATCTTGGTTAGGGAGCGAGGAACATTCTTACTCCCCGTCTAAAAAAGAAAACAAAACAAAACAGCCGGTTAATATCATAATTGACTTCAAACTATACAGACAGTAATATCAGCCGGAGCTTACTCCATTATCTTTGGCCGCCAGTTGAGCCCTCTTCTTCTCTAACTGATCCTTCCGGATTTGAGTAGCCGATTTAGTGGGTGTCTTCACTGGAGGCACCAACTCTAATCCTTTCTCTACCAAGAAGAAAATCAAAAAGTCAAAATCCATTCAAGTATGATACAGACGGCATAAAGTGCCGGTTATCAGTCAACATATGTCTGCTATAAACAATGTTCTAAGGCCACAGGCGAAAAGGAATGCCTCGTCCTTTAGCCAGCCCGGATGAGGGATCCAGTTCTTGGGGACAATGACTTCAGTCCCATCATCCAAAGGCAGGGAGGTCTTCTTGAAGAGGCCCGTCTCCATTATTTGCGCCCAATCCTCCTCCGGTACTCTAGGTTGGGCGCATTTCTTTCCAAGGAGAGCCGGTGCTTATTGTAGTAACGCAGCCGGTGGTTTAGACGCAACGATGGGGAAGAAACCAAGTAAAACTTTCTCTTCCAGCTGCTCTATTTTGACTGCTTGTCAAGCATCATCATGTATTCCGGATGCGTGGTCAATGTATACCACGCATTCTAGCCGCCTGGTGCACGGCTGAGGTAGTACATATGTGCAAATGCCTCCCAGCTAGGCGTTATGTCCTACATCTCACAGGCGGCAATGTATCCTAATATATTCACCCAAGAATTGGGTGTTAACTGCCAAACGCCAAGGTCGTAGCCTCTTAGAATGGTTTTTATTGTATTATGGAGGGGGAACTGGAGGCCGGATTTAAATGCCGCCTCACAATAGCCGAAATAGTTGTCGGCATGAACAAGTTCGTCATCCCAGACGACGATTGCCTCAACAGGCGGCACAACAATTTCCCATCCTACCCCAACCGAGCGCTTCTGTTAAAATCTGGGTAAGGTGGAATTTAAAGTGACCACATCCCTGGCGGTCATGTGCGCTTTTGTTGGGTTATTGATTGAGAGCCATTTATACGCTCCTCATCCCCTTGGGGGGTATCCGGTTCCATAGTAGACTCTGAAGAGTCTGATTGTTGGACGGTCTCTTCACCGCCTATATCCTCGGACTCTTCCAAGATATCATCACTAGGCGTGCTAGGTACAACCGGATGGTCATAATGTACAATGTCAGCTAGAGCTTCGGCTGAGCCGTCTGATTGGTATTCGGGATCTACAGCTGTCTGTCTCGTCCGAGCCATTCTGTCCTGCACATGAACAGAGACGGTCGGATTCGCAGAAGAGTAAGGGTGGTGCAAACACCCCCAGACGGCATCCCCAGTCCTAGACTCAGCCATATCCGGTGACCGGCTGACAACTGTCCTAGGTCGTGCCGTGTGTGTGTTGGGTGAGTCCATTATTCTATACAAGCTATACAACCGGAAAAACTCAAAAACGTTGCAAGGAGTAGAGACAATACCTTGAAGATACTTCGAGTGGGGAAGTTGGCTATCTGGATCAGCAGCCGAAAATCTTTTTTGTTGCTTGCTAGATACCTAGACAGTAGCCCGGATGTATCCTCTTGAAGCGCAACTGAAAATTGGAGAAAAGACGGTTGCCCGGATGTACCCTCTTGAAGAGCAATTGAAGATTGTTTAACAACCAAGCCGTTCCTCAAAAGCTTTGCTTGAAAATACCCCAGACGGTTGACCTGTTGTGGGTGTATTGAAAGCAATTGGAATCAATCAAAGGATCCCCCAAGCGGTTTTAATGTGTTTTGGGTGATGAGCACACAAACGGAAGCCGGTTGAGTGAAGAAAAGAAAGACGGTTGTGCAAGAAAAATAGCATCCGGTATTAGAGCTTTCTCTCTTTCTCAGAAAAATTTCTCAAAAAATGGCAAAGTGTTGAAAATGAGGGGGAGGCGGCCATCTCTACTTATAGAGAACCCCAGAAGGAGACGAACCGTCACCTTCCCAATTCAAACTCAAATTCAAAATAAAAAAAAAACAGAGAGAGATAGAAGGAGACGAAACGTCACCTTCTCAGAGCATGACATCTGTCACAGGTGTGACGTGGCAAGCCACGTGGCACCTGTGAGGGGCAAATGTTTAGGGTAAAAATACCCCTGTCCACGTGGACCAATCGTGTGCTGACACGTGTTAGCATCAGAGGGGATCTGAGAGAACCAATCATCTGGGACACGTGACACTTTAACCTATGAAAGGGGAACTGATCCCCTCTCACTATAAATAGAGGAAAAACCTCATTCATTATAGATTCATAAATACACACAAAAAACCCGAGCAATATTAATTGCATAATTCTCTCGGAATCTAAGAGAACAACATTTACATTCCGCACTTTTATATATCCGGACACGTTCTAACTTGATCGTCGAAGGCAGAACTCCACCCAACCGGAGTTTCCGTGGTTTTGCAGGTACAGACGGTCGACGCGAATTCTTGGAATTGTAACTCTCCCGAGGGACTCCAAAAACCCCGAAACAGGTAGCCTAGAGGTTGTAAGGGCTTGTTGCACATGCTAAGTGTAATCGTGATTCCTACGATAGTGAGTATTAGGATTTATTGCTTTATAGGTTAGTTTTATTTTGTTTTGATAGTTTAGTTTATTGCTTTCCTCGAGGACGAGCAAAGGTTATATGTGGCGTGTAAGGATCCAAATCCAAAAAAGAATGAAAGCAAACATCAATTAAAAAAAAAAAAGGACTCAATCCCTACAATACAAAAATATAACAAACAACAATTAAAGCAATAAAAATACAATATTGTATAAAATATTGTTTGAATAACAATTAAAACAACAAACAACATTAAAATTAGGCTTTGATTAGCATAGAAAACCCAAAAAGGGGTAAAAACAATATAAAACAAGCCAAAAATGCACAATCTAAACAAAAAAACATGCTAACAAACTGAATAACAATATTCTCAAATTCTAATTAAACGAGTTTAAAAACATCTAACCCAACAACCTTTATCTAACCCAACAACATAAATCCAAATTATATGAACAAGACAGCAACAACTGACATGCAAGACTGTATGAAAGAAATTAAATAAAAAATTATATGAACTTGACTACATAATTTAGCAAAACCATAAAATTTAAATAAACAAAACAAAAAATAAACAACAATACAATTTAACAACATCAAACAAAACGAAAAAAATCTGGAAAAAAAAAACGAAAATAAACTAAGAAGCAAAATACCTTCTTTCAAAAAAAAAAAATGCAAAATACACTGATTGATGAAGGAGAGGATTATAAGAACGCGTCTCGTGGTGGACTGAAGGAAAGAAGGAGATTTGAGAAATGGCTGAGGAGATTATGAGAGAGAAAGAGAAAGCTGAGAAACGACTGTTAAGATTTGAGAAAGAGAATGTGAGGATTTTTGGGTTTTTCTTTTTATATGGTGGATTAGCTTTCTTTAGGCTTGGGCTTAGATTTCCGTTTATTTAGGTATGTTTATATTTTATTTTTATTTTTTTATTTTTTATTTTTATAATATAAGTATATTACGTTCAGGTTTTCAGGTCAGGTTCGGGTTAATCCGACCTGATTTGATCCAAAAATATTTGCGGGTTAGATGGGTCATTTTTCGGGTTAAAAATATCAACCTTAACCTAACCTATTTAATTATTAAGTCGGGTATCGACTCATTTAAGTTTTCGGGTTAAAAATCTCAACCCAAACCTATTATTTTCGGGTTGGATTCGGGTCAGATTTTCAAGTCGTGTCAGCTTTTGTCAGGAATCGATCACAAGTTAAAATGGAGCAACATCACACGAATCGATCACAAGTTAAAAGGATACACATCGAGAACATACTAGTAAATCCCAACAAAATTCCAAATTAAGTGGAGGATAGAGCTTCCCTCACTTCCGATGCTAACATTAGATGGTCAACAGCATCAAAATCATCGTCGTCTTATACGATGACGACAAGTGTGCGGTTAATCATTTCACTCTCTCTCCTCACCACACTATTATATGTAAAACCCCCTTCACTCTCTTTCTTATCTCTATCCGCTCCACTCTCTTTTGATAGTATCATCTTCATCATCAACTCTCAATTACTTTTGCTAACTTTTTCGGTTACTCTTTGAAATATGTCTTGCTGTGGTGGTAATTGTGGTTGTGGATCTAACTGCGGTTGCGGCAGCGGCTGCGGAGGGTAATTATCATCCTTTTTTTAATTGTTATTTTTACGAATGGTTTCTCTTGACGATTTATGTTAGTCGGCCCCGGTTTCGTTGACGTTTGCTCTATTGGATTTGAATAGTTTATTGAAATAATTACCGTGGTGGAACGATGATTGTTATATATTTCCTCTGTTTTTTAATAATCACACCATACTTTTTATCACGATTTTAAGAAGGTGATTAGATTAGGTAAATAAATATTAAGCTATGAAATTTAAACTGTAGTAACTTATCCCTTTCTTCTTATTGGTGGTAAAATTTCGTAAATTAATTTATTGGTTTACCTGTTTTAATATCTTCTTTAAAATACGTGTCAAAGATTTGTGTTGTATAAAATGTGTGTCAAAGATTTGTGTTGTATAAGTAAATAAAAATGGAGGAAATAATTTGTTGTTTTGAAACTTTACCCTGTTTTTTTTACAAAGGGTTTTATTTTCTTATCAATTTTGATTAATGTAATTTTAATCAAAATCACTTGATTTATCAAATTTTGTTTATTCAGATGCAAGATGTTCCCTGACTTCGTCGAGAACAGCTCTAACCCCACCGTTCTCGTCTCCGGTGTTGCCCCCAAGATCTCGTGAGTTTTTTTTTTTCTTTTTTTTTTTTTTTTTTGAAATCAGATCATATGAATATACGATGAATTTGAAAATTGAAATCATCAAACACTAAATGAATGGCTCATGTGTCTAATGTAATAACAAAATTAGACGGTGAGGTTTATGAAATTAATAGTGAATTGATAAACAATTTAGTGAGAGTTTATAGGTTAACTATGGTTATTTGTTTCATGGAAATTATACAGAAATTCGTTGGTTAACTTGGGAATGAATGAATACAGGTACGCTGAAGGAGCAGAGAACGGAGTAGCTGCCGATAATGGCTGCAAGTGCGGTGCCAACTGCCAATGCGACCCATGCAACTGTGGCAAATGAATACCATCTTAATTAATCAAGATGATGAAATATTTAAACTAATGTTGTGTTAAGAAGTGTTCTATGTTTCTGGGACTATTGTTGTGGTGTATAAGCCAAACTCCTAATTAGGGTTTATTGCTTAGAATAATCGTATTATAACAGCCATATGATATGATATGATATCGTGTTGTATGTGATGTTTACTTTTCACTAGTTGGACTAATTATAATATTGTGTTTGTTTCAGAACACTTTGTGATTTTGGAGACTTTTTACCAGTTGGACTAATTATAATATTGTGTTTGTTTTATAACACTGTGATTTTGGTTGGTCTTCATATCTTTCAAATCTGCAATCCTATAGTTCCTTTACTTCCATTATTATTTAAAATGGCAAGAGCTTGTACTAATACACTAATTAATGATATTGTGTTTGAGATTACTTTGTGATTGCAATGGTCTCCATCTTTTAAAATACACAATACACTCTGCTTCATCTGTATCATTCTTATTTTTCGCATTTTGCAATTCACATATTTGAAAATTTTTACATAAATATCTCTCGTGATTAGTAACCGAGGTACAAAATTTTAATATATGAAGCAGATTAATAAGGATGATCAATAAAAAAAATAGAGGGATTATTATGTACCATATGAGAATACTAAAATGACAATATTCAACCTATGTATTATTTGTAAAATTTTAATTTGATAAACAAATTACCTAAAAAAACGTGTTATTAAATAATCAAACTATATACTTTGCTCTTTTTACAAGTATATTTTTTACAAGTATAATTTTACAAGTGAAGCGTTTTTTTACGGACACATATGACAATGTAAATTCTAAAAGTTTGACCAATAATAATTAGTGAATATTAGTAAACTACTTATTGAGGCAAGTTGAGGCAAGTATCTACGAGAATATAATTTTTCTTATGTACGATGTATAAATCATTAACATTAGTTAAAGTGGAATTTATGTAGTGTAAAAAGTTAAAACGTTTGAGTTACAAAATTCACTACCCAATTTAGATAGCTAATCAACAAAATAATCACCACTTTATATAGATTGAAAATGTGTAGTTGCGTGAGTTTAGGTAGTTGAAGTAGACACATGTTTTATTAATGATGTTAGCAACATCTTGTTTATTCGTAGTAACAAGTACGGAGTATTGTACTTCGTATTAATTAGAGTTATAAATAAGTTACTTTCTTCATCCCTTATCTACGTGCTTACTTTTCTTTTTAGGGCTTCAAAACTACATGCCTATTTCTATTTGAAGAATGTATTTTTTTTTTACTATATTCCCTCTTTTTGATGAGTTGTCATCAATAATCTTTTATTTTTTCTATATTTTTGACATCATTTTTCAACACTTTTTCTTCAATAATTACCAACTACCTTTTCTTTCTCTGTATCTCTCTCTAACCCCACATGGACATTTGTACTTTCCAATCATGGGTTTTAAGGAATATCTAAATTCCTTAATTTCCGTAAAAAATGGGAAATAGGCATGTAGATAAGGGACGGAGGGAATATTAATAGTTATAGATAGATTTGGTTTTTTTTTTGCTTTGCTCTAATAATAATTCTCTTCATCAAATTAATAAACAAAGATTTAAAAAGTCTTTAATAAGACTTGATGACATGACTGTATATCCTTTGCCAAACAGGAGTATATGATTGTATAGTAGCGTAGAAAAAACGAGGCAAACAAAATAGTCCTCCTCTTGAATACGAGTAATGAACAATAATAGGTGCATGCATTGTAAATTGTAACTTTAATTAAAATATAAGGTTCGTAGCATAAAACTAACAAAATTTTTGTCAATGAACTCGGGCCCTACACCAAAATATCTCAGCTAAGTGTAACTAAGCGCATGATTGAATCATGTGAAGTAATGAATGACAACCAGTTGTAGTGGGGGTGTTGAAAAGTGAAAAGGATGGCAAGTCAATCAAGTCACATTGATCACTCCTCCTCCGTCCATATTGATCCCTTTATTCGTACGCCTAATCCATTCCTTCCCAACGAAAACGAAAGTAATGCTGATATTTGTGGAGTGGGAGCTTGCTTTGGGCTGGGATTCCCTACAAGTGTATAGAATCTTAGTAAGAGATTTGATTGTTGATCGTACTTGTACAATTTGTTTATCTATTACTCCTTCGGTTGTCAATTGGATACTATTAATTCATATCCGTAGATCATTAAAATATGAGGTAATTTCTTTATGTATAAAGTACTATGAAGTAAATATTTTAACCAAAAAATAGAACAAAATTTTAAATTAAAGACGGATATGGATTCTTGATGCTTATATCAATTTGTCACATTTTGTTAACCTTTTTATCAATATGTCGCAAAGGTGTTAATTTTCATACCAATGTGGCTAATTATTGGACCTATATAAAGTACTAATATTTAACAAAAAAAATAAGACAAAATTTTAAATAAAAGACGGATATAATGAATTCGTATTGCATGGATTGTGATGCTTTGTAATAGATTAGATTACTCTATAACCACTATTAAAAAAAAACGAGCTTCTACGGGCGGATTTTAACATTACCAATGACCTTAAAAATTTACCAACGACTAAACTATCGGTAAATATAATACATTAATAAAGAAAAGGAATTAAAAATTTACCAATGACTAAACTATCGGTAAATATAATACAATAATCAACAAAAGAAATATTAACCGTATTTTATTTTTATTTTTATTTTCACAATGGCCTTGACAATAATAATAACGAGGACCATTAGGGCTTCTAGGATGTCTAGGTACATAGCTAAATTTTACGAGTACAGGGTACATGCTTAAGCTTATCGGCATTGTAGAGGATATCTAGTAGAATAAGATAAAGATTGAGTCTTAACAACATCATTCATCACCCTCACTTTTATTGTGTTTCTCCTCTCGCACAAATACACTCCCCAAGTGGCACAACCGTCTTGTATGCAGTTGGGACATTCTTTTTTTAATTTTATTTTCTTTGATGAAATAGTTGGGACATTCTTATGTGATTTTGAATGTTTAAATTGTAATCACCCTTTTTGAAAAGTCTTGAATGTCCATATTATTGTATTCTCCCTTTTGAAAAGTCTCAACCGTAGCCTTCTCGTTATGTGTTGGGGAATTTTGTATGCGTCAAGTGGGATAAGACGAATATGGAAAGGTGTACATTGATACTCCGTAAAAGTTAAAGGCAATAGAATGCAAGTTAGACACCTCCAATGAATGATCAATAAAATTGTGCGTACTACAATAAATCTTGTATAAGAAAAACTTTTATTAATTTTTATTGAAAGAAGGTCAAGCTGAGATAATCTTAACAATTTTTATAATTCCTTTAATTCATTTAAGAGTTGTATGGGGAGATACCAATAACGGGTAAAATAGTGCCGATATCAACCCTTTTACACAATGCACGAATTCCTTCTACGGATCATAATGACCATATCGGTATACACTCATAACGACATAGGCAACGATCGTCTTGCGAACAACAAGTGGCATCAGGCGACCAACACCTGGCATGTATGTCACTTGCATGGCATGCAGCCACCTGGCAGTTGGATCCACTATAAATAGGCAAGTTAATCCTTCATTGAAAGGTAACATTTATTACTCTCTCTCTCTCTCTCTCTCTCTCTCTCTCTCTCTCTCTCTCTCTCTCTCTCTCTCTCTCTCTCTCTCTCTCTATTCTCTCTTAATACCTTCCCTTCTTCTTCTTCTTCTTAAACACTTTCTTACTTTGCCATTCGAATTCACCCCGGGGTTAGCTAATCCTTGTTTTCTGTGTAGGTGCTTAGCGGGGCGATTGGGTCTTCACGGATCTTGGATATGGGTTGTCGGGTTATCCTCGGAACAATTTGGCGCTAGAAGGAGGGGATAGTGATTAATTCTACCGCCTAAGAATCTAACACAGTAAATAATGACCGAAAATAAAGAAACACCTAAAAATGATAACGGAATGAGAAAAACTGTAAACTGAATATGGCAACTGGAAATGGTACGGGTATCCCGGAAGTTGGAATAGAGGATGAGACCCACACCTTGGAAGGAAATCAATTCAATATGCCGGTAACACCAGAACGGTAGAATGATTCCATATCAGACCCTTTGCCCGAGTTTACTCCGGAGGAGCTGGAGTTAACGGCCAGAGTAATGTGTGCAATGAGTAGAAAGAGAAAGGAGGTAGGGGCCGACAATGAGCGGATTGGAGGAGAAATACCGATAATAAATCTCGACGGCCAGTTTCAAAATGCGGCTGGTTTGCCAAGATGTTCATCCTGGGAGGCGTCGCTGGTAAGGACACATATGACCAATCAGGAGACGGAGGTACAATCCTCTAGTGACGTTGCCAATAGCAGGACCCAAAGGTAGAGAACTTCACAAAGTGCTGGATAAGGTGCAGCATAGATAGTTGTGAAGCTAAGGGCCTCACCATTTACGCAGGATATCCTAGATCTGCCGATGGAAAAGATTAAGATGCCGATGTGCAGGTATGACGGTAGGGGTGATACGAATAGATATATAACCTCCTATGAGGGGCACATGATTCTCTATACAAATTCTAATGCCGTCTGGTGCAAGGTATTCCCAACTACCTTGACTAGTATAGGGCGGCTTCAGATTGGTTTTCCAATCTGGGAAATGGAACAATTGATAGCTTTGAAAGGTTGACAGAGATGTTTGTTGGCCAGTACATCAGTAACAGTGTCCACAAAGGACATCAGGATAGTTGATGGCAGCATAGTAGAGATCGGATGAGTCTCTATGGGATTATATCAGGAGATTCAATAATGAAGAAAATACAATCCCAAAGTTGCAACAAGAAATTGTAATTATGGCATTGATGAATGGCTTTAACAATTGTTAATTCAAACGATACTTAATGCGGAAAAGTCTCCCGACATTAGCAGCAGCCTTTAACAAGGCTCATGATTACATTAAAGGGGAAGAGCAATTGAAAACGATTAGTAGAACTATGCCGGTAGAGAGGAATTAGCACCTATCCGATAACACTACGTCTGGTAGTAGTAGGCCCAGAGCCTCAGGTCCGATAAGAGGGGGTGGGGTCGATAGGAAGGGAGGGGTACAAAGCTACCAGCACGGTTGATCGGTGGACAATAGGTCATTAGCTTACTATCCTAGATCAAAATTACAATTTATATCTCCTATCCTAACTCTATCAATTTTACTTTAGATAGTGGTAAGGTAGGGTCGATTCCCAAGGAAACGGGGGTTTAGCACAATTAATACGATACCTAGGATAAATTGCTAGTAACAAAAAGTGGT